GCCACGCTCAACGGGCAGCAAGATGTATCCAACGCAAATATCCACACGGGACTGCTGCAGAAGCGGCGGCGAAAGCGTCACCAGGGCTGGGCACGCCGGTTCTTTTCTTTGGACTTTACTTCATGCACCCTGTCATACTATCATGACCGCAACTCAGCCGCTCTGCGAGGCGCGATCCCGCTCTCGCTAGCGGCCGTCGCGACCAACGAGAAATCGCGTGAGATCTCGATCGATTCTGGTACTGAGATCTGGCATCTCCGTGCCAGTGATGACCAAGACTTTATCGCGTGGAAGCGTGCTTTGGAGAGAGCTTCCTCTAAGGATGCTCAGAAGGATAGCAATGCCAGTCTGGCCGCTCCCCCAGAGTTGCGCCTGCATGCACCATCGCATCCCTCACCAGCAGAGGAAAGCGAGTGGACCCGCGTTGAGAGACTGGTGAGCCAGATTTCTGGATCGCGGGATGCCGTGCGTCGCCTGGCTAAAGATACGGACCCTAAATACATGACTCCGCCGATGCCGACTAGTATTGATCGGCCTAAGTCTCGTGGCCGGTCGCCCAGTCCTCAGCCGAGCTCTCACGATGCCACTCCTGGTGAGGGGCCTAGACGGCCGTTTTGGAAGCGCAAGACAAGTGGACAGTCGCATGCTAGTGGCAAGCGTCCAAATGCCGAGACTTCGAACTCCAGTTCTTCGCAGCTCGTGGTGCCTCCTACAGATGGAAAGGGAAAGCCTGCTAGTATTCATAGTCATACAGATCAGATGGATGAGATCCATGACCATCTGATGGCTGTATTGCACGACCTTGATACTGCTGTTTCCGAATTTTCTACGTTGATTGCTGAGAGCAAGGAGAGACGGCACCTGCGTCGGCAATCTATCATTCCGCGGCGGAGTATGGAGTCGGATATCTCGCAAGAGTTCTTCGATGCAACCGACGGAGGTGGTGACAGGTCTCCCCTCTTGACCATTCAAGACAGTGACGACGAAGGCCCCGAGGAGGACCGAGCTGCCTCTCCTGCCGGGGAAGTCGAAGACGACGCCCCCTCCGACAGCGATGGCGAATCCGACACTCGACAGGAGAGTGGCAGTGTATCAGGTCTATTCCCAACCAAGCCCAAATCCCTGATCCCGCTCCCTCTGGACTCCGTAAAGCGTCGCGCGAACATCCTCGCTCCAACCGTCATGCCTCCAAGCTTGATCGGCTTCCTGCGCAAGAACGTCGGCAAGGACCTGTCCACCATCTCCATGCCTGTCTCCGCAAACGAGCCCTTGTCCCTCCTGCAACGCGCAGCAGAGATCCTCGAATACTCCTCTCTGCTCGACCAAGCAAACCAGTCAACAGACGCAACCGAACGCCTAATGTACGTAACCGCCTTCGCCATCTCCTCCCTCTCAAGCAACCGCGTCCGCGAACGCTCAATCCGCAAACCCTTCAACCCAATGCTAGGCGAGACATACGAGCTCGTCCGCGAAGATCGCGGCTTCCGCTTCCTAGCGGAGAAAGTCTCGCACCGCCCCGTCCAACTGGCCTACCAAGCGGACAGCAAGGAATGGTCCCTCAGCCAGTCCCCTATGCCCAGCCAGAAGTTCTGGGGCAAGTCCGCCGAAATCACTACAGAAGGCCGCGTCCGCATCACCCTCCACGCCACAGGCGAACACTACAGCTGGACCCCCGCAACCTCCTTCCTGCGCAATATCATCGCAGGCGAGAAATACGTCGAGCCAGTCGGCGAATTAGCAGTCACAAACGAATCCTCCGGCAACCGCACTGTCTCAACCTTCAAAGCCGGCGGCATGTTCTCCGGCCGCAGCGAGGAAGTTTCCACTCGCGCCGTCGACAGCAATAACAAACCCCTCCCGCTCGGTCTGTCGGGTGCATGGCCTTCATCGCTGACCCTCACCCGTGACGGAAACCCAACAGGCAAGACAGTCTGGACAGCCGGGTCCCTCGTCCCATCCGCGCCAAAACACTACGGTTTAACGTCCTTCGCGGCTTCGCTGAATGAGATCACTTCTATTGAAGAGGGTCATCTCCCCGCCACGGACTCCCGTCTCCGCCCTGATCAGCGGGCTTTGGAGGATGGGGATCTGGACCGTGCGGAGGAAGTCAAGGTGCAGCTTGAAGAGGGTCAGCGCGCGCGTAGACGTGAGATGGAGGATGCGGGCGAGGCTTGGGTTCCGCGCTGGTTTACGCGGATTGGTGGGGATTCGGATGGTGAGGTTGTTTGGAGGTTGAAGGGGGGTAAGGATGGGTATTGGGAGGAGAGGGCTAGGGGGAGTTGGTCGAATGTTGTGCCTGTTTTTGAAGGGTAGAGTTGGGGTTTGGTGGGTTGAGGATGTTGATGTTTATGTTGATGATGAGAGAGTTATGGTCATGCTTGATGAATGTCTTTGTCTTTTGGTCCTACTTTTTGCGTGCATGGTGAGAATTGTCCCTCTTCGCTCTGTGGGCGGGAGATTTGGATCGGGCAGGACCTTCTTCGCTCTATAGAGATAAATCGTGACTACTTTCCGGTACCTTTTGGTATACTACTTATGGTTGTGGTGGTCTTGTAGTGAAAAGGGCAGATCGAGTAACTTATCATTGAGGTATGCACAAAGTTCAAGCGTTGAGTCGTCAAGAAGACCAAGTCAAGTCAAATCAAGCCATGCTTGGAATAAGAATGCAACAGTACGTGAGTAGCAGAAACATATAAACAGGGGGAAAAGAATGGGAAAGAAAGAGAAACTAGAAGGAGCCGTGACACGTAAGGCCATGCAGCCGAATTCAATCGCAGAAATACTGTGTGTGCAAGGTAAGAATACTCCACCCGTACCACATCCATAAGCATTGTCGTATCGTATCCAGTTATCCCATTTTATTCTTCATCGTCATCCGAATGCTGGGCAGTCCAGCGACGCGAGTTACGCATCTTAGCCGCCTTCCGCGCACCCTGGCGATCATTCGTCCCAGATCCCTGCTCTGGCATGCGCATCATAACAGGGAGACTGTTGAGAACGGCTCGGTTACCCTGGAAGTAGTGCTCAGCAAAGCCACCCTGGAGAACGCGGCGCAGAGACGTCAAACGGATCCATTTCCACCAGCGGTCGATGCTCATGATGCCATGGCGGCCGATCTTGACGGTGAGAGTGCTGCCGTAGTGGCGGTTGGTATCTTGGTCGATGGCTGTGTTGTAGCGGGGACCGCGGCGTGGGTTCTCCACGGTGGTTAAGATAGACGCGAAATTGCTGTGCAGGGATTTCTTGTCGCGCTTGCTGATGCGCTTGTGGTGGATTGTGGCCAGATTTTTAAGTTGGCTTTCCAGCTCAGGGGTGTTGTGGTAGGCGTTGTAGCGCTTCACCAGCTTGGGGCCAGGGGTGTTGTCCACCTTCTGTTCGTCGATTTCTTCTGAGTTGTCGCTTTCCTCATCGTCGTCATCCTCTTGAGGGGTATAACTCTTCTCGTAGAGGAGGGCGATGTTCTCGCCGGCTGCGATCTGGACATTGGAGTCGGCGCTGTCTAGCTGGTCCATGAAGATCTGAACGGCCTCTTCGCTCTCGCTCTCATAGTCATCGATCTCAGTTGCGAGGAATCCCCATTGCTGGATTGCAGCAGTCACCACGGTGGGGTCGTCGGTAGCTTCGACAGATTGACCATCAGAGGCGATGATGTCCAGGAGGAAGGTCATCTGTTCGAGAATGCCACCTTCACCGGCACCCCCGAAAATGGTGCATGCGCCCAGGCAGTGAATAGCAGCTGTTTTGACAACGGCAGAGGTGGCATCGCGGACGGTGCGAGTGAGCAAAGGCTCGGCATTTTCAAAGATGGTGTTGTCAAAGGCCGAGAGAGCGAGCAGTTCAATCGCACGTAGTGCAAGGGTCGCTTCACGGGTACTGACTTCGGTGCGGACGCTGCGAGCAAATGCAGCCAGAAGATCGGGAACAGCGCCATTAAGTTCCTCCACGGTGTAGTGGTACTTGGTTAGACGGTTGAATGCCTGCAAGGCCTCCTCGCGGCCTTGAACACTGCTGCGCTTCCGGTCGAGGATTTCTTGAATGCGATCGCTGAGCTCTTGCTCCCAGTCGGGGTTGTCTGTCTCGGGGTTCTCATCGTCGAGGGAACCGATGCTGTTCCATACTTGGTTAGTGCCGTTGCTTGCAAAAATTCCCGACATCATTGGTAGTGACATCATCCCGCCACGGGAGTGGGGGCATGTGAATATAGCTTGGAATGCACACAAAAAAAAGTGCGCGGGGAGAGGGAAAGGGAGGGCAGGGGGCGTACCTCATAGCAGTGTCGTCAGATGTAAATCCAGAGTCTTCTTCGTCCGAGGGTTGTCTGCTGGCATTTCGAGAACCCTGGCGCGAGGTCTGCTTGGAGCTGGCACGAGAACCGTTGCGGGACGCTTCACGGGAGGCCGCTTTGCGCGAGACAGTCTTGCCGCTCTCAAAGATTTGGCGACGAAGGTCAGGCATTTTGGAGTGAGAAGTGTCGGAAATTAGGTGTTTGAAAGAAAGTCCTCGCGCAGCCGAGGTGTAGATGTGAAGTCGTAGTAATCGATAAGCCGATAAGAAAACGATGTGTTAACCTATAGGAACCGGGCAATAATCAAGTGAGAATGATATGAGTAAAGTACTGGGCATGATCTCAAGCAGGGTCGAGTATGAAGAAGAGAAGAGAAAGGGAAAGGGAGAAAGTCAAACGGACTCCCCTTCCTATGGAGCCCGTGACCGAGTATGTAATCGACTATGAGTCCTGGAGAACTTTTTATAGATTCCACCAATGGACGTGAGATACTATTTCTGTTGCTATTCAGAGATTTTCCTTTGTTCTTATTAAATAGAATCGAGATCCCACTTTGCCTGCCTAATCATTTTATAAAATGCAGCCATGTGGTTGGTCGATTGGATGATCGTGGGCCATTGATATCATATGGAGAAGACCAGAGAAGGTCCCCGTACATTGTGGACAATTGCCTATTGTTCCCTTTTTGATTGTTTGGGTATCATTATCATACATTCTATTGTTGTGAAACCACCAGCTCGATGATTCGTCGGGCCTTGACACCCTCGAGATACTCGCGACCTTCTTGGCGCCACTCATCCTCCTCATCCTCATCATCCCCAACCTCCAGATCCACCTGCTGACTAGCTTCGTAGGCACTTTTGACAGTGTCTTCGTCCACACGAACACTGTTCTGTACCAAAACCCGAATGCACTGTGTTAACCGCGCAATCTCGCGGCGGGTCTGTGGTGGGATATCGTCGTTCTGGCTAGAGTAGATCGAGCTCGAGACCATCTCCTCCATGCGAGTGATCGTGACACTATCTGTGGTCGAAGATGTAGCATCCGTACCTTCAACATGCTTGTAGATGTAAATGTAACCGTTCACGCCAAGGATGATGTCCACTTCGCCGCCACCGTTGGAACAGGTGATGGTGAACATCTGTCGCCGTGACCGCACCACACCACCAGTAGCAGAGCCTCCAGGTGCACTAAGGGCGCTACCTGCGGCAGGCCCAGCTCCATGACCACCCTTCACACTGGAGCTGGATGCTCCACTGCCTCCGGTTCCTGTCACAGCAAGGAAAACACCATTGCGCAGCTTTCCGTACTTCACAGATCTGGTATGTAGTGACGCTGAGCCATCCTGGTGCACGCTCTGCACCTCGGCCATCACAAGGTCGCCCTCGCTGAAGAATGTGCGGATCTGAAGTTCATCGGCGGTCGTTCGTCGGCGCAGAATTCCACCGGGCAAGTTAATCGCGGAAAGAGGGAGTTGAGCGAGTAGTGGCGCGGCGATATCGACCTTCCACCGCCGCGATTGCACTTCGACAATGCGACCAACGACCAAGTCTCCAATCTCGGGGGTGTAGCGGGCGCGCATGGGCTGTACGGATAGTAGCTTATTCGTTTTTTGAACTGTACCGGCAACAGTGGCGATGATGGATGTTGAGAGCGGGTTCATAAAGGTGCCGTGACCTCTGCGGGTTGTTAGTGTTGCTCGCCGAAAAAGAGTGAAAATTGAGCCTCGCAGGTCGCAAAGCCTTTTTCAATTCAATACGAACCTCATCCATTGCGGATCATCTGTGACAACTTCTCCTGGTGTGACAATTCCTGTGCCGATTTTCGAGTACCCTTGTAGACGGGATCGCTTGTGAGGCAGAGAGACGCCGCCCATTTCAACGTCTTCATCTGAGTCCACTGACATGGAGTCGTCCGAGTCAGCGTAGGGACCTACGTCCTCTACCACGGGAGGCAGAATGGTAATTGGCATTGCGAATTATTTGGTTGATTCTGTATCTGAGAAATGTGAGTGGAGTGTCGGAGACAAAGCTCTGAGAAGGAAAGGTCACATGACTGTTCCACATTACATCTACGGAGCTTTACAGTGAAAAGGTGAACTGTGAATTTGTTTCTTTGACATATAACCGGTATGCCTCAATATTGCAATGCAACTGATCTTTACCAAGCCAGTTAAATTAAGCCCAACGCCCATAGAAATACACATAAATCCCATAGAGCAATACCAACTCTCAGGATTTCTTGACAGCCTTGTTGGGAGTCGAAGTGGGCTCATCCTTCTTCTTTTTGGACCGGCTGCTGCCACCTTTTGGTCTGTATCCCGTGTCCTCGTCACGCTTGCGCTTGTTCTTGGGAGTAGGTGCATCCATCCCATCTTCATCATACATGTCCTCGTCTTTGCGTTGAGCTGGTGCTCGCTTGGAAGCGCGCTGGTTGGAAGGACGTGACGCAGATTTTTCCGAAGCGGCCTCGTTATCCTGCAGAGTCTGCGGTTGATTGCGTCGTAGCCAATTGTAGACCGACGCGGGATTTCGAATGGAGGCGTCGCGCTCGCGCTCTGCAAGTGTGGGACGATCCGGGATACGCGCGAGCTGCTGGGCGGCTGCCTCGTCTCCAAGCTTCGCATCCAGGGCAAGGTAGTACTCAGTCTCGTGATCGGGGGCAAAGTAACCGAGTTTGCGATCGGTGTCGTCGTTTCCAGCCTTTAGGACGTCTAGACTGGGGTGATGGGACTGAGACAAAGAGCTGTAGTGATTGGCGGGGGCAAAGGCTTTGTTCCGCTTGATGCTCTCTTCAACGCTACGGTAGGCATCCGCATTGATCCTGCCCTCGGCCAAAGCAGCCTTGGCTTCCTTCCACGCTGTCTTTGCCAGTGTTGCATCATTGACCAAAGGCGCGATTGCCTGCTCGGGGGTCGGTAGCAAGGGAGGGTCGTTTGGCATGCTCAAATCAAACCGCACGTCGGGTGGAATATGAAGGCTTTCATTGAACTCAAGGAGGACCTCTAGCAGTTGACTAGAATGGATGGTTAGCAACAGCTCATATAGGACTGCTAAGTACCTACTCGTTTTGTTCCTGAATCCGTTTAGACAGATCTTCAATGCGCAGCTCTTCCTTGATCAAGTTTTCATTCTCGCGAGTTCCTAGCTCAAATTTGACCTTGAGCTTGGCGTATTTTTTCCTGTAGAGACGAGTCAACTTCATCCCTGTGGGCTGATTTGCTTGGGATCACGTACTTGAAAGACCGAACCGATTGCTTGGCTGGGGTCGGAGCATCCTGTAAGGTGTCCATGGCGGGCCGCGCTCCGTTTGGCTCCATTGTGAAGAATAGACGGGATAAAGAGAGATGGGATGGTGAAGGGGATGTTCACCCTGCGAACGCCAAGACACGGAGTGCGGACTGCGTGGGAGGCGGGTCCGGACCGCCGTAAAAAATTAGATTATCGCCGATCGGATATCTTGCGCTCTCTTTTTTTGAAAATATTGTGTTTTTCTAGTGATTTTTTGCATTCATCCCACAATGTCCGAAGTCACTGATCCCAGTCTGAAGAAGCGCAAGCTGCAGGAAGGTCCTGAGCTTGAGATCGATGTGTCTGCGCCGGAGCCACCCTCAAAGAAGGCTTTGCGTAAAGCAAAGAAGGGTAAGGGTGATGCGACTGATGGTGAAGAATCCAAGGCTACCAAGTCTGAGCCCAAGTCCGAGAAAGAAAATGCCCAGGACAAGCGGTCTGAATACGGTGTTTGGATTGGAAACTTGTCGTTCAACGTGACCAAGGACGATCTTCGCCGATTCTTTACCAACGATACCTCCATCGAAGACGCTACGATTACTCGTATTCACCTCCCTAAGGGTCCCGAAAAGTTCGGCCGTTCTCAGAACAGGGGCTTTGCCTATGTCGACTTCTCCAGCAAAAAGGCTCTGCAGGAGGCAATTGGCCTCAGCGAGCAGCTCATGACCGGCCGCCGCGTACTCATCAAGGACGCAAAGAGCTACGAGGGTCGTCCTGCAAAGACTGAGAGCCAAGGAACCGGTGCCGAGGCCTCCAAGTCGGGCCACCCTCCATCGAAGCGACTGTTTGTCGGCAATCTCAGCTTCGATGTGACCAAGGAACTCCTCGAGGAAAACTTCGCTCGCTGTGGAACGGTCAACAACGTGCATATGGCGACTTTCCAGGATACAGGAAAATGCAAGGGATATGCCTGGGTGGAGTTTGAAGAGCTCGCTGCCGCGGAAGCAGCGGTGAGAGGATTCACGCTCATTAAGGAGGAGGACGAGGAGTCAGATTCATCTTCCGAGAGCGAAAGCGACTCGGCGTCTGAGAAGAAGGCGAAGAAGACAAGAAAACCTAGGATGCGCAGGGTGTGGGTCAATCAGCTCATGGGCCGCCGCATGAGAATGGAGTTCGCAGAGGATGCGTCAACGCGGTACAAGAAGCGCTTTGGAAAGGATGCGGAAAAGAAGGATGGACCTGCAATCACCGAAGTCGACGGCGAATCACGAGAGAAGCCCCGGCACAAGAAGAGACGTCCCTCTATCGACGAGTCTCGTTATTCCAAGGAGACTGTGCAAAAGCTCAGCGGTGCCATTGTCGCAGGCCAAGGTCAGAAGACTACATTCGACTAAATCTGATATTTTGTGGTGGATGATTTGCGATTTTTTCCCTCGATATATGACCATTTGAACCGGTCCCCCCACACGTTGTATACTCTTTTCTTACCGGATATCTAAAATTCTGATCCCTGTGGATGATCTGCTGTTTACAGCCTGCATTTTGTTGAGTTGGCATTAATATCACCTCTTTTACGGTGTGCCTTGTGACTCGATGGTAGGATGACCACTAAGCGCTTGTTCTTAAGATCTTATCGGGTGGTGGTACAAGTTGTAGATGCGCGAGATGCATGTATACTTCCGGACTAACATACCACAGCATCCAACCCGCATAGGAAGCAGTTTCGAGCCGAAGGGGGGGGAAAGACAAAACAAAACAAAAACAAGAGGTGAAGCACACAAAGTCCAGAATAGCAGGTCAGTATATAGTAGAGTCGAAGATATAGTTGGAACTAAAAAAATAAGGTAAACAAATTCTAGACCCGTTCATGGCAGAACCACCCTCACCGCCTGGGCTAGGCCCGATCAGGCCTGACGTCGTCTGTCGCGATGTCATGCCCTTCATTGACTCTCTGTGCTTCTCACTGTTGGGCTGCTCCTTCTTCTCACCCCTTGCTCTTCTTTCTTCTTCTTCTCTTATTCATCTTGGTATATCTGTTGCACAAGGTGTTCATTTCTTTCTTCTAGGCCATTTGGTTTGTTGTTTTTGTTTGATTTCCATTTACCTGGGTATCGTTTCCTTGCTGAATCCGGGTTGGCCCTCACCAGACTCCGTTCCTTTTTCTTCAGCCGGCACCCGTCCCGATCACCTGGTCTCGAGGTAAATCTCTACCAGCAGGGAACATTTGAGCCATCTCAACCTTCGGTATCCCTTGTATTCCAACATGGCTCCTGCTCGACGTCATATCGGGTCTAGCCGCAGAAAGAGACGGGACGACGATGGCGAAGATGAGGGTTCAATGGCTGCAGATCTGGGAGACGACTCTCTGAGTGAAGGCTCGGCCGACAGTCACCAGGAGGATGAAGATGCAGATGCAGAGGGTAGTGAGGAAAGCGAGGAAGAGGTGGCCCCGTCGGTCAACGGCAAACAGGTCAACGGTCAACGGGATAAGTTGACGCGGCACAGCTCTACGTCTCCCGAGAAGCGAGGGTCCAAGACAACGGTTTCGGATACTGAGGCGATGATGAATGGATTGAAGGTTTCGGATGCCTCTGGTGATGCTGAAGTCAACTTCGACCACCTAGAGGTTAGAACACCTTCTGCCCCTCCCACCGAACCGAGGCGAGATAACTTGGCTTCAAGGAAGCGTCGTGAGAATGACAAATATGTGAAGGAGCGTGATCAAAACCCGGCTTTCGTCCCCACCCGGGGCAGCTTCTTCCTTCACGATAAACGATCCGCTGAAGCGGGCACAAACGGTCACCGGCCTTTCAGCAAGAGCAAGTCTCGTCCATACGGTCTGATCGTGGACGGAAACTCCCGCAGGTGTGTACTTTTCTACGAACCTTGAGTGATAGCACTCACTAACGGAATTAGGCCTTCAAAGTCCGATGCCAGCGGAGGACAGTGGGCACATGACCTCCACGATACCGTGGCAGACGATCGACCTGCTGCTGCTGCACCGAAACGCCCAACGCCGTCCGTTGGACAGCCTGTTCCTACCGCCCCGAGGTCCTCGCCGCCAAACCGATCCTTCTCCAGTACAACGTTGGTTGGAAATGTGCCGGTGGTTGTCTCCTTGCCTGGAATGGCCCACCCTGTCCAGTTTGTGACTGAGAAGAAACTCCACACTCGGCTGCCTCAGCATCGGCCTCCCTTGAGGCGCGACAAGCCGGTCCGGATTTCTCTCCCGAATCAGGCTCCCCGGTACATTTTCCCCTCAGTGGAGCGCTCGTTCATCTTCATTCCTCGCGCATTGCGGCCGAACCAAAGCTACCGTGGGCGTGGCCGTGGTGGTGGGTTCTACAGTGGGCGCCGTCCCAGCTATTACCCCAACTCATCGTACACGCCAAGTTTGGTGAGCCGTCGGTCTTCGCTGGGTCAGGATGGGTGGCCTTCGCCCGCAGGATCCACCTACTCCAGACCCATGATCCCCACTGAGCCAAAACCCATTGTTCGCATGCCCCCGCCAAATCGCCCGCCTATGGGGCTCCCACAATTCGGGGCTCTCCCTCCTGGACCCATTGCCATGCCGCTCCCTCACCCCGCATATCGGGAAAGCCGCCCCGCACCGATCCCAATGCATCAACCTCGTCCCCAGAAGACGGTCTCTGTGGCTGACATCGAGAGTCCGGCTACTTTTCCATTCCCATTCAACCCTCCTCAGCCACAGCAAGAGCAGCCCTTCCATCACCAGGTTCCTGCCATGCACGCCGATGGTACAGGTCCACCTAGCCAACCCTCTGCCACCCCACTCTCTCAGATCCCGGAGCGAGCCATCCACGCTCCGCCTTTCCAACCTTACACGTACCAACAACCTGGCTTCTACCCTCCGGGCTATCCTCCGGGAGGCATGTACTACCCGAACTCGGGCCCCGACTATTACAACGGACCAGTGGGGCCTGGTGCATCTGTGCCGAATTTCCCGGGCCAGCAGGCACCCTACTCAGCGGGCGAGCAGCCATCTCAACCTGGAACAGTTGCTCATGAATCCAACGGCACTGTTTACTTCTACGATGCCAACCAGATGTACTCTGGGTCTGGCTACAGTGGACCGGCACCACCCGGGCCTGGATCTGGACCTGGTGGTGTGGTCGGCATGGGTGGGATGATGACGCCGCCCGGTACAACCATCTACTACCCGCAACAACAGTCCGGGTACTACGGTCAATGATCGACGATATCAATTCTCTTTGACTTCAGCTTCACTTCGGATTCCTTTTCCTTTCCTCTCACCTTTCGCATCTATTATGTTGTCATTTCCTTTGAATCTCTTGATCAACAGGGGCCATTTCATTTTCATTTTCCACTTCCATTTTTCATTTCTCAGTTTTCATCCAGCCACATTCACTTGCATGACTTTGTTTTCTTCTATCTTAATCTTTCTGGTTTTCATGGTATCTCCGATATGACTCATTGCGGCCCTTGTTAGATCTGGATTATTGATGCATTTGAGCGTTTTCCCCCTCATGTCTCCGCAACTCCTCCACAGTACCTCCAAGGTACATCCATGCTAGACTCAAGTACTTGGTCCAGCTTCTTCTTCCAATCGGGATATCGAATCTCAATTCTTCACCTATGACTTTATTTCTTTATGTTGATCCGCCACCTCGGGTTTTTGACAATAAAAGTAATTGCAAAGTCATGTACATTGTGTCTTGTAAAATCACACTGTTATCTGCTATCTTTCGCGCGATGTAGAACGATGTAGAACGCTTCTTGGATTAGCTCAAGATTGTGCTTCTGAAAGGGCAGCACAATCATTGCCTTATATGGAGGTTATAGTAGAAACCAACAGCACACACCGTGGTAACCAGGCTAGGGTCGGTTCTAGAGTGACAGTATGACCCGACGGAAACCGTTGAATGCCATTGCTGTCATACCATGAGATTCGAGCCGAGAATCAACTGCAGAGTGAACCAGAAAGATCGGCATAGCAACCCTGCAGGGTATTCTGGCGGAATTGCGGTTGCCTGGGTTGACAGAACCTATATAAAAATCCTTATTTTGGGCTTTCGTGGCTTGCTGAAGTGGCAACTCTCCTGGTCTGTATCGACATCTAAATAGACATTAACGAAGTTATGCAGCTCCTTATCTATCTATATTCGGCCAAGGCTCGCAAAATGGGCCAGACATCTAAATCCCCCTATTTTTAGGCTTTGCCAAGGTTGTAGTCCGGGGGCACATTCAAATGGGCTGAGTTTAGACATGGTGATACACATCCGGGGAATATACAATGTGAAAGATGTGCATCTTGCAGCCCGGGAATGTACACAGCCCCGTCATCTAACCTTAGGAGGGTTGATCCATATCTTCCCAGTCTAAGATCCAAAGTCGGGAGGTCAAGTGCCGGCTGTAGAAACCGTCTCGTCTTCCTAGTTCGTGTCGGTGGATCTGCATGAGGCATTTGGACTTTTCCCCTCATCATTTCCCCACACTATACATCGATGTACATGCATGATTCTAGCCCTCCACCAACAGCCCTCCAATCGGGCGAACAACTCCCGGTCAGCAATCAATTCATGACCTCATATAATGATGTGTCCGGTTTGAAATGACACCGAGTTGCAGTAATTTGTTCCCCCCGGCTTTGACGCCATATTAGGTAATCCACTCACCGCCTTGTGAGGCAGCTGACCGTCTCTCTCCGCTTTTCCCTGGAGTTCAATGCTTGTACAATCCCCTCTCTTTCCTAGACTTTGCCTCATCTTTAGTTTTCCCTTTTTCATCTTCATCTTCCTTTTGCATCACTGACTTCTTCACCTGGTACCTCTCAGTGCCAGTTTTCCCTTCTCCTGTGACTGTTGCCTTATCTCCACTAGTGCCCTTTGGACATCCACCCTTTGACCCTTTGATAGAGAGAGAGCTTGCACATCATGGCTACTCCATCCTCTCCTTCTCATCCAGGGCCGGATCATATGGTCACGGTCAAGGTGCTCTACAACGATAGCAACCGTCGCTTCAAGCTCCCTCTGAAGGAGCTCAAGGCTCAGGTGTTCCCTCAAATGGTATGTCTCCACTCAAGCTCCGACCGGACTTCTAGTCCGACTCCATTCCTTATCACCGATCTCCATCTAGAGCAACCCTGACTACGTCTACACTTTCACTCCTGTCTTTATTTCATAGTAAAACACACTGTTAGGGGAAATAAGGGAAATTGACTGGTGTTTTTGGTTTAGCTCCGAAGCCTCCTCGGCGTTCCGGCGGATGTCAACGTCATCCTTGAACGCTATTCAGACAGCGCCGGTTCCTATATTCGCCTGGACTGTGACAACGTCGCAGTCTACAAACAGCTCTATCGGGCTGCCAAGGCCAAATCCAAGCTCCGAATTAAAGTTTCAAAGGTCACTGTCCCCAGTCCCACCGTCACAGAGCCCGAGATGCCCTCGGAGCCCTCGGCACCGGCCGAAGAGCCCTCTGTACCGGAGCAGCCTCGATACAGTTTCCTGGAGACTGTTCTGAGCCCGGCCGATCTTCAGGCTCGCTCCCAGAACCCCGCTCTCATCGACTCAACCCCAATTCCAAAGTCGCTTCCCATTGGCCAGCCTCGTTTCCGCAACTTCGAGTTGGACCAGGAGAAGCACCACTTCCCTCTCATCTCTCACAACTCCGTCAATGGTATGTTCTGCATCGACTGCAACAACTGTGGTCGCTCCATTGCAAACGAGCACTATCACTGCAGTATTTGTGAGAACGGAGACTATGACATGTGCCCACGATGTGTCGAAGACGGATCATCTTGCGGCGGCGATGGTCACTGGCTGATTAAGAGATTCGTTCAAGATGGTGTCGTTACGAACAGCACCACCGAGACGATTCCTCCTCGCAACCAGTTTCCTGTTAAGTCTGAGGTGATCACCAAGCCTCATGTCCCTGTGAAGGCTGAGCTTGTCCAGGTCCAGGCTCTTCCCGAAACCATCCCCGAGCCGGTTCTCAAATTGGATGTGAAGCCATCGGAGTCCTTGGATGCTGCAGTCCAGGGAGAAGAGAAGCCAATGTGCAATGGCTGCTGTCGTGAAGCTGATGGCAGCTATCTCGTCCGTTGCAATGACTGCGAGGACTATGACCTGTGCCTTCGTTGTCTCCTCAGAGATAAGCACGGTCACCACCCTGGTCATACCTTCCACCTTGGCTCTGACCGTAACTTCTCCTTGAAAGATCTGATCACTTCTCGCTGTCTCCCTGGTCGTCAGTTCCGCCACGCCGCTGTCTGTGACGGCTGTGACAGGCGTATTGTTGGCGTCCGTCACAAGTGCCTGGCTTGCCCCGACTGGGACTTCTGCCCTGAGTGCATTGCTACAGCACCTGAGAACCACCCTGGTCACCGGTTCGTCAAGATTTACGATACTATTGGTGAGGCTCCTCGTGAGCATGAAATCCACTATGGTATCTTCTGCGACGGTCCACTGTGCAAGAACAAGCCTGCTCAAAGCTACATCTCTGGCGTTCGCTACAAGTGTGCTGTCTGTGATGATTGCGACTTCTGTGCCAGTTGCGAGGCTCTCCCAACTGACCACCACAACCGCACCCACCCGCTGGTTAAGTTCAAGACTCCTGTCCGCAGCGTGACTGTGAGCACCCTGGGCGATGACGGCTCTAAGGGAGCACTTGCCCTGGGTGACCGCTGCCAGAGCCACACTTGGGACAGTGCGGCGGTTGATGAGCAGGAACCCGTTGAAGTGGATGCTAAGTCCGTGGAGATGCCCAAGGCCTTCAAGCCTGAGGTTGAAGCTGCCTCCAGCTCTGGTGTACCGGGCTACAATGCAGAGTTCCTCAAGGATACCGTTGAGGACGGCACCATTATGAAGCCAGGCAATGTTTTCTCCCAGACCTGGACTCTTGTCAACAACGGCCATGCTGCATGGCCCGTTGGCTGTGACGTGCGCTACGTCGGTGGAGACGCCATGTTCGATGTCGACACCAGCCACCCCTCAGACACCATGTCTCTTTACTCGGCACAGCAGAGCAACAAGCTGTTCGCCCCTGTGGAGCCCGGCGAGTCGGCTGATTTTACCGTGAACCTTCGCGCCCCTGAGCGTGAGGGCAACGTTACCTCTTACTGGCGGTTGAAGCTTCCCAACGGCATGGCTGTGGGCCACAGCCTGTGGTGCGAGATTGAGGTGCAGGAGCCTGTTCCTGCTATGGCCGAGGAGTCCCCCGTGTCTGAGATTGGCGGAAGTGGCATGATCTTCCCCAAGCTGGAGAAGGAGTCCCCCGAGTCAAGCACCATTCAAGAAGCCCCTGCGCCCGTGGCACCCACTCTGTCCAATTCCTCCGAAGTCGACGTTGAGGATGTGGAAAGCCTGGCTCTTGACGATGCCAGCACCGATGCTGGCTTCCTAACCGACGAGGAATATGACGTCCTCGACGCCAGCGACCAGGAGTACTTGGAGGCCAAGCAATCCGCAAACTAAGGAGCATTTGCGGGGATAATATTTGAAACTGTATCACGACACGTTATGGAATCGGGAATTTGCACAAGTGCAATCATCTTTTTTTATTATATCTTTCTTTTTTCGGACTTGCACCTAGTCACTCCACTCATGACTAGCAATTAATGATGTTTTTGGCCTTTGGAAACTAAGCAAACACCCAAAAAATGTCCATTGCCATAGGATAAGTTAGTTGCCCAAATTCAATTGCTCTATTTTCTAGCTTCTCGGTGCAATCAATTCCTTTTATACTGCGAACCTCACCCGACTGTGCTTCCCCCACATCGTGATGATCCTTTCTCTATTCTTCCCCCCTCCCCCCACAAGGTATTCATATAATCCCGAGGTCTAATTAGTAATGACAGGGTCTCCAAGGTCTCCCAAGTCTGACCCTCTTTTCTTCTTTTCCTCTCATTCCCAATCCCAGTCTAAATCAATTGATCCAATTGCTCTCCAACATACAACATGGGTCTACTCGGCACCTTAAGTCTGGGCATCTTCGTCGCCCTGGTCGCCTTCCTGTCTGGCCCAGTATCTCATATCATTCGCATTGGAGGTGTCTTCCTCACTCCCAATCCGACGGTCCTGGGTGAGGGCCAGGGCCCAATCTATATCGAGGATACAATCCATTGCGAGGATGTCCACCACTACCGACCTGCGAACTTGCTCTTCACTGCTTGTGAGGATTACAAGAATACGCGCTTTAGCTGGTTCCCGCCGTTGGGGAATTTGGTGCCGTCTACTACTAGTGGTTCTATTCATGTTGTTGATCCAAAGGTGTGCACTACAATATTCCCTCTTTCTGATCTGCTTCACTCTCCACACATAACCCCTCTTCTATATAAGAAACCAATATCTAACAACCAACCAAGACAATGAAATCAGCCCGCCTGGCATTTACAAACTTCAAAGGTCCCTTCGTCACCCACGGAATTGACGTTATCCAAGACCAACAGCATGAAGATGCAGTCTACATCTTCGCTGTGAACCACCTGCCCAACCCAGCCTACTTCAATGCAACATCAGACTCAGAGATCCCAGAGGGAACACACAAAGCCCGCTCCCAGGTCGAACTCTTCCACCATATCCTGGGCTCTAAGACTATCCAACATATTCGCTCAATCAACCACCCGCTCATCGAAACACCCAACGATATCTACGCCGAATCTCCGGAGTCTTTCTACGTGACCAACGACCATTTCTACCGTGAGGGCGCGATGCGCCATGTTGAGGATGTATGGTCTAGTGCGAAATGGTCTAGTATCATCCACGTCCAACTCCCAACCAACACCAAGGACACAGAAATCCAAGCCTCGGTTGCATTAGCAGGTCTATGGAACAACAACGGCCTCGGTCACGGCCGCACAACCAACGAAATGATAATCTCCAGTGCTATCGGTGGTGAATTATACATCGCAACACCGGACTCCAACCACTCACTCTCGATTTCGGAATCTATTGCTTTTGATACTGTCACTGATAACCCCAGTTACTATGTTGATCCGTATGCTACTAGCGGTGATGATGTGAGTGGGGTTGTTGTGGCGGGTATTTCGAGGGGGATTCGGTTACCAGTTACTGCTAAGGATCCTGATGGGATTGATCCCGTGCAGGTTTGGTATGCTCGTCCTTCTGGATCTGGGGTTGGGGCTGGGTGGGAGAAGAGGCTTTTGTTTGAGGATGATGGGATGAGGATTCGGACGGCTAGTGCTGCTGTTCTTGTTCCTGTTGAGATGAATGGCGATGGGGTTAAGAGGGCTTGGCTTTTCGTTACTGGCTTTATGTCTGAGCGGATGGTGGCTGTGCAGGTTGAGTTGTAGATATTGCTATGAATGATGATGGTGTAGTTGTCTGTCTTTCTTACTTCTGGTATTTGTAGAAGGTGGATTGTATATTGTTTATTCTGGGAGAGTGTATGTGGTAGGAGCATGGTATGACTTCAAGACATGAAGATGTGACATTGTACTTTGCCATGCATATAGAAACTCGTTTCCCACTTAAAATAGGTACATGGAGAGACATGACAAGAAAGAGAAGAACAGGAAAAGTGAACAAAAAAGCTGAATGGGAGATGTGAACAGGAAATGCCAACAGGAAAAGACAAAGATCAAGAAGCTTTTGTCTTGGTAGTGCTCTCAGAATTATATCCAGGAAGCAATTTGCTTGCTGAACCGAAGTCCAGACAATTCCCTTGCTACTGGTCATCACAGAGTCAAGTAAAAGCCCTCAAGTCGCAACTCTTATTGGATCACTTTCGTGCCAGAACTGTAATCCAACCGGTGCCCTATCTCGGAAGAGTCCAAGCAACAGTTTTCGTGTCTTCAGCAGTAATTGCCGCGTCCTAAGGAAAGACAAGTCTTCTCAGAGGCTGATAGCTGCAACCGGAATTCAAGGAAGGAGTCACAGAGTAGCGCACCACATCTGTGACTGTATCCATCCTGACCCACGTGTGCCTTCGCAGTGTCCAGATCCCCAGTGAGAGTCCGTATGGGCACCGGGTACCGGGTGCCCATACTGGGAGGAAAGAGAAAAAGGATCGTGAAAGGACTCAAGAGGCCAGTCCTGAGACCCTTTCAGACCCTCCCGACCCTCGATTTCTGCCCTCTGCATAGAACATGCCGTGCAAGAAAGCAAGTGTCTGAACTCTTTCTTCGCCATCTGACAGACGTGAAAAACAAGGTCATGGAGCCTATCGACATGATTGAGAGACCATGAGGATTCCGGGGTTAGAGTTGAAGGCCTATCCCCCAAGAGAATGGAGTTGCAGGATCTTTGCCTTCTAGTAGAACCAACACTTAGCTGCAGACCTGAGTATTCCTCAGCCACTGTGATCTCAGTGACCGAGAATGTCGTTGATTGTGCAGGTTGACCTCTGCCGACTTAGCCTCAAAAAATGCAAACTTGCATGAATGCAGACTCGCCCGCGCCCATGCCCTGCTCCCACAACAGTCAAATGACAAATTGAGCACTTCCTGACCAGGAGAGTGCCCATGTCCCCAGTGCCCACTCATGGAGGAAGAGAAAGAAAACACGAAGAGGAACCAAGAGGAAGCTACTCTCGAGAGTCATCCGTGCCCCCGACCCGTGGCGTAGACTGCCTGGACAAGTCCGAAGCAGAAAGCGTAAGGATCTGAACTCATTCCATCAGATGCCCTCCTGAACCGTAGAACATGCATGTCTTGACAACAAGAGAAGAAGATGGCGAGAGCAATTTCACCAAATCCTCCTGGTAGCCGAGAACCCTCGACACCACCCCAGTGCATGCCAACAGCAGAACTTAGCAGCGAACAACAAGCACCTCCATACTGAGTAATCTGGTGCCTGTTCCCATTCATGAATCACTGCCCACAGAGCCAACGCCCACAGAGACATTCCCTCATCCCGGATGCACAGAACCCAGTCCGGTGTGGGACGTACCCACGGCGGACTCCCATGAGATAACCCACAGTTGGAATGGGAAGAGTGGAAGGGATGGGGAGATGTGAAAGAGGGAAAGAGAAGGAAGAAGTTGGGGGAAGTGAGGGTATTTATACCCAGCACCTGCCCGTCCCAATCGAGAAATATCTGTATTTTGGCCAGCACTCAATGCCGTACGATTCAATATGCCATTCAATACGGACTTATTCGCATTTATCTCTTTCTCTCTCTAGTTTGAGATGTCTATTGTCTTGTTCTGTGGTGCGAATGGGTGAATAGACGCCCGGGTGAGGCTATTCACCCCATGCCTCTGTACAAACCTGCATGTACGTGCTTCAGCCTCACTTACGCCCTTTGACTCTTGCCTACACATTCCTCGGGGGCTTGGTACACGTCTGCTTTTCATTAACCTCGAACCTCACGAACAAGGGTCCTGTCACATTGTCCGCAGTTCGACAACCACAACCTATGCCACCACCCACAATCCGCTTCAACACACCACAAGGTCAGAACATCGACCAAGAGACGAAAAGGCGAGGCAGCCCACAAGAAGAAGACAGTGCTGTCCTTTCCAGGCCCAGGACAACCTGCTCTTGTTCCCGGCTTTGATATACTACATCTGGGAAAGGAGACATCTGCATGCCAGGGTCATATAACAGTAGATCCATGAGCTATGGTGACAATACAAAACTAGAACAGAATATCATCCAGAATGACTCCATTCAATCCCTTATCCCATGCCTCTATATGGAACCAACACCAACACCGTAGCCTCATTTCTAAAGAAAGACCCACCCAAGATGAGCAGACGACAGTCTCATTAGTTATTGAACAGAAAACAGGTTGTAGATATCTGAGATGGAAGACAGTGCTAGCGCCGCTGCAATGCAAACAAGTCGGAGAAAAGAGTTAAGAGGAAAGAAAAAGAGCATAAATAACAAAACGAATCATAAAAGGGAGCACCCAGCATTACACCACATTAATCACATCATTTTGACTTGCCGGATGGCGTCGTTTGGGAGGAGAACGAGCAAAACTTGTCCTTGATCGCGATCACTTCGTATGTACCCTCGTCGGAGGTCTTGATGGTCTTGATATTTTCATAGGAAATGTCATGCTTGATATCAAGGACCTCGGACTTCTTTCCCTTGGCAGCGTTGGAACTTCGGATGTACCTGCTGGTTGTCAGTAAATTGGAATGAACAAGTCTGGAGAGGAATAACTTACGTGAACTCAAACGGTGGTGTACCCCAGAACTCAAAATGAAGCTCGGCTTCTCCACCCTCGTGAATGTCCACGATGGTTGTCTTGCCTTTACTGATCCTCACGCTGGGCATCGGGTGGATGACCTTGGTGATGTCCTTGTGAGCCCGACACTTGCCACTGGCACCATCACTAACCGCAGTGATGGTGAATTCACCAGGGCGTTCAGCAATACGGCGGAAGTTGGTGTTGGGAGAAGAGGCCTTGCGCTGGGCGCCGTCGAAGCTGTAGAAAACGTCGAATGGAGCGTGCCCGGACAGCGAGAACGAAAGCCGCTCGCCGACACAGTAGTCGACCTTGGACTCAAGCGGGATGATGGTGGGGACATCGGAAACGGCAACCCGCACCGATGAAGAGTCTAACTCGGTGGTCTTTTGGCATCCTCGAGAGTCACGAACCTTGTGGATACTGACGACATGTTGGCCAAGGTCAAGGTGACGACGAGGAATGAGCAGGTTGTGACGTTTGGTGTTGATCTTGGGGATGGTGACAATCTCGGGTCTGGCGTTGGAGTGGTGCTTGATGGTGATCTCCAGGGAGAACGGCGGGACACCTTCCAGCGTAATGGGGACAGATTCCTCGCCGCTGACATCTTCCTTGCAGAAGCCATAGACGTGGCCAGGGGAGTCAAACTTGGCGGAGGGCAGCGGGTTCACTTTTTGCGTCACAACCAGCGGGGCGCTCCGAGAGTCATGGTCGTAAAGATTGTCGCCAACTTGCGTGAACTTGTAGCTGTATTGACCAGGCTCTGAAGTATCCATCTCCATTGAAGTGGCATGAAGAGCAGACTTGAGGGCTCTGGGTTTGGCCGAAGACATGCCACGGTCTGTCTTGCGTCGCTGCTCGTATTGAAGATTATACGGAGGGTTGCCCGACAGCCGAAGCTCCATGCTATCATCGTCACCTTGGCAGACCTCAGATTTGACGACCTCCTTCGCAGCAGCGACGGGAGAACCGTCTACTGCAATGATTTGAGGTCGGGGGATCCACGAGATTTCGAACTCGTTGGCAGTCTGATCCACGGTACCCGGGCAGCCGCTGTCCATGACTCCGGTGATCTCATAGAGACCTTGCTTATCCACGTTCAAGATGCTGTTCTCTTCCCAAAGGATTTGCTGAATGGGTTCTTGTTGCAGGTCGACATTCCTGTAACTGATAGTCCAAGGCCGCTCACCCTTGAGTCGCACTGGGATATCAATCTTGGAGTTCTGCAAGGCCGACACAGTTCTCTTCTTGTCGATCTCACCGAAAGACACGTGTGGTGGCTGGGACCGAGCTTGAATCTTGATGCTTTCTTTTAGGGTTCGTTTGCAGCCAGACTTGTCCTTGACACTGGTCAATGACATGGTGTACTCGCCCCCGCTAATCAGTTTATCGGTTCTGATAGTGGCGGTATCAACGTCGGAATCCAGTGTGAGTTTCTGTTTCTTGCCGTTGTGGAAGATCTCATATTGGAGGGCCCAGGGTGCCTCTCCAAGGAAAGATACATCTACAGCAACTTGCTCCCCAAAGCAGGCCCGGCGCACTCCGGCGGTTCCCATGAAATGGGCCGAGGCTGGTGGTTTGACGTCCTGCTCAAGCACAGGTGTCTTGTCCCTGAGAGACCGCGGCGAATAGACAGAGTCTTCGATATCCAGGAAATAATACCTGTAAAATCCGGCTTCCGATGGGGTCAAATCGAGCTGTGCGCGCACACTGTCGATCTTTTGAGATTTGGTTTGCGTTGCACCCTTGGAGCTCTCAATGCTGTATCGGAGAGTGAATGGTGGAGATCCAGTAAGATCGATATCAACCAGTAACCCAATGGCATTGTTGGCGCAACGGTCAAAGATCTTCTCGGCCTTGACTGCAACCTCAGGCTCAGGCGGGTTTTGCAGATGGCAGGACGAAGGCTCCAAAATCTCTCCAGGACAGAACTGTGTGGAAACCGATGCCAGAGAATACACCCCAGGCTCCTTGATCTGATGGACTCGGTCGATAGTCATTTGAGAAAGAGTTTTGGTATCCTCTATTTCTTGCTCCTCGCCGGTGTAAGAATAGGCCACGGAGAAAGGTCCATCATCGTAGTATCCATTTCCAGAAGGATGGAATTGGAGTGGGAATCGAACGCTTTTGCCTTTGGCAACCCGCAATGGATTCT